TATTGATTGAGGTAGCAAACATCGACCTTTTTTGGGGTCAGTATAGACCAAATTGAGTAGATTTTAATGGGTTAGGGTCAATGTGACTCAATTAGTATCGCTTCTAGTATGGATAGTTAAGATATTTACGCAAAACAAGGCCTTTTGAATAAAGAATCAAAATGTAAGGCTATTTTGCAGTTTGCACGTTGTAAGAAGGTTAATTTAAAATTGCTCAAATATCTAATATCCAGTTAAGTGTACAAAAACTGGACCATAAAACATGGGCATCAACGCAACTTTGTGTAGTCTAATGAGAAAATAGAGTGACAACCAACTCTAGAAAGACCCTCATGTCCCTTAATAACATTTCAAAAATAAAAAGATAAAACATAAGATCACCTTTAGACAATGTAAACTGAATAAAGTTCGTGTATTACTTGCAGCTACTTCTGGAAATTATAATCGATAAAAATGGAATAAATGGTTAATGGTTTGACAAAGCTAGTCGAATATAGAACATTCAAAAAACACAGTTCTGTAGGAAAATGCATATCACGGGACATGGTGAAAATGCAAAAGCAAACAGATTGACAACGAAGTAAAAGTCCTCGCCTACAAAGAAGGGACTTGGAGCAACAAAATCAAACCTATAAATCAGGATTTTTAAAATGTGATATGGATATTTTTTATAGTAAAAGAGTTTTGATTTAAGTTATTAATCAGGATAAATTGACTTCTCCAGAAAGCAATATGAAAATACCTACGAATATCAAGAACAATTATAATGAGCCCATCGACTGCAAGTTTTGTAATGTAACCCGGTGCTCCATTGGTGTTGTTAATATTTTGATCATAAGCAGGAAACAAGGAGACTCGAAATCATCGGAGCATCGACTATATTGGGAAAGTTCGGTTTGATTGAGAAGGAGATTAGATCGGGTAAAAAATAAAATAACCACAATGTGGAGAACCACTATAACTAAGAAGACCACCAAAGCCCAAAAGCGTCCACCTAACTTCACTCCTCCAAAAACCCCAAATTTCTGCAACTGTTATTTCTGTTCCTAGATACTGCCAGATTTAAAGGCAGAGTACCAGCTCCATCAAGATTAATGACAGCTCGTGTAAGACTAAATCATTTAGAGCCATTGAATCGAGTGCGAAATCAACATAAATAAATCCGGTACTTCCTTCAAACTTTGGTGATGAACAGGTGGTAATCTCGGCAACACGATAAATCCTCAGCCACTTGTACTCTCTTGTTCTTATTTGATGAATTGAAAATTGATTTAAAAAAATGGAAGGGTGCCTGGTAAAATTATATATTTCTCTATATTGAGAAAATGTTAGATGAAAATAAGCTTGAAAAAAAAAAAAAAAAAAAAATTTGCATGCAATAAGAGGTTAGAGAATGGGGGTAAAATACACTCATGGTTTCGAACTTTACCCTTATTTGCAATCTGGTTACTGAACTTTAGTTTATTGCGAGCAATTAGGTTAGGCCATTTCATTAGCCTTCTATTCAACCACTTAATAGAAATTTTAAAATGACAATTAAAAGTAATGGAATCTCAATTCAAAATGTCAATTCAACATTTCACCCTCGATCACTAAACTTTTAATTTGAATCAATCACACTAAATTTTTAATTTCAAAGTTCTAAATAATTTCTAATATTATTTTAAATCTATTAAATAAATAAAATAATCCATATCAAATAACTAAAATAATAAAAACTTTAATTACTTAATAATTTCTACAACTAAAAAAATTTCAAATTTCATAAATTAGTTAATTCAAAGTTCCAACTAAACACTTCCCACTTGATATAACATAATAAATACTAATTGGAATCTTTGAAATTGTCTAATTTGAAAATTTAAAAATTATCTAATAGTAAAAATTATCAAGCAATATGGAATTTTTTTTTATAAAAAATTAAATTGTATGGTATGCATTATTTTATTCATTTAATGATCTCAAAATAATTAAAATATTATTATAAATAAAAATTAATACCTTAGAATTAAAGATCAGAGGTGTGATTGCTCTGAATTGAAAGTTTAATTACTTGACTGCTTGTAAGATTGAAGTTCACTGATGGTAAAATTCATGATGCATTACATACCATGTTGGATGTAGAAATTTTGAATTTATGTTACTGGAATTTATAATACTTATATTATGCCCTTGTTTGGTAAGGATTAAAATCAGATTTTCCGTAGATTTTAATAAAATTTGATAAAATGTGTGATTGAAAGGTTGTGGATCTTATGAAATTTGTGGTTAAAGTTAATTATTGATTTTGATTTAGATTAAAATCCAAATTTTAATTCCTAACAAACATGGGTTATATGTTATGTTTGTAATTTTCATGCAGCTATAGATTTGATTAATGTATTTGTCAATTATCAAAGATTTTGGAATAGAACAATGAATATATGGGCTTGGAGGAGGTTAGGATTTTTGTATTGATTTGATGTACATACATTAATCTAGTTGATATTCCTTTTAATCGGTTAAATATGGATCAAAAAACAATAGCAATCAAAATACATATTGAATCTAGCATAACATGTTCCCTAACATTCTATTTGGAGCTCACAAGTAAGGATCATAATCTAAACCAACTTCACGTAGCATATGAACTTCGTGAAATAGTGCCAACTATAGAGGTTAGAGATATCATAAAAAAAGGAGCTTCAGTTCATGGTGTAAATATTATACAAAAAGGAGTGTGTGGTTGGTTGTTTAGGTTAAAATGGACAATAGAGTTTGGAAACTTAGTAAAATAGGGAGGTTTTAAGTAAAGAGTGTAAAATCATGAACTCATGCAGGTTGGATTTGATAATGGGAGATCATAAGCAAGCAACAAACTATAGATACAATAAATGACATGATGAATACATTTGGTGTGTCGGGTTATGAAAAAAAGTTGAGGTCTACAGAGCATGAGTTTAAGACTATAATGAAGGATCCTGAAGAGTTATATGGGAATATTCTAGCATATTTGGATGTCTAGTGCGGGAGAATTTGGGATCTATTACGAGCATTGAGACTAATGAAAATTGCCAATTCAGGCATCTCTACATGGAATGGGGCATCGGTGAAAGGTTAGGAATCTTTTAAACCCATAACTGTTGTTGTCCTTGATAGGACATTATGGTTGGGGGGAAAATCACGTATAACCAAATAAATAAATCTAATTCAGTAAATACTACACATTAATTTATAAATTATGAATACTGGATTTTAAGCAATAATACACCAAAATTACTTGCTCCATAAATTACTCTTATTTTTAGTAACTGAAATTCAATAATGGCAAATAATACGCCCATCATTCAATACATTCATCATCATTCACTCTTTCAAAAATATAAAAGTTTAAAATACAAAGTTGAAAATGAAACACAACCCGGGTTTCTTGAACTGCAAGATAATGTAATTCATTTTTTTCTTTTGCTGCTGAAACTCAAAATAGGCTTGCTATATTCTTGTTGTTAAAGATAACATATATTTGGAGAGAAGTATAGAGCAAATGGGACGAGAATCGGGAATCCTATTGTTTCTTGGAGGGATTCTAGGTATATGCAATTTCCACCTTTACTAACGTACAATCTTTCCAGGAGAGTGACACTGAACTGACCAAGAAGGACAGAGTGTACAGATGCCGATCTGAGTTCAATTTATTTTTTATTTTCGATTGAGATATGCAATATTTGCCGGCTACATTTAATAGACTTGATGGGTTTCTTTCATCATCTTCTTCAAATGTCAATATGTGAGAAGAAATTGTTAGTTCAAAAGTGTCTAAACCATCTTTCTCTTGAATTAAAATTTGCACATGACAACCACCAAATCATTCATCTACTTTTGCTGTAAATGATTCCTTCGCTTTGAAATGGCCTACAATTTTAGAAGTTTAACGTAAACTGAAAACTTCAGATTCACGATCAGATGTGATCCCGCTTGCATTCCATCGTTGATCTGAATTTCGATTTTCACTACAAATTTTCTAATTTATAGAAAATAAATCAATAAGATAACACCCATTAGCACATTGTCGAAATAACTTATGATATTCAGAAATCAAGAATCAACATACAAACCAGTTATAGACAAGGAACTTGCGGTCACATAAACAATGGTGTGTCAACTTTCTAAAATCCCATCCTCATCTTATGTAGTGATAATGTGTATGTACTCTGATATCTTTATCACAAAGAAACTAATGCGAAAGGTTAGTATAATGGCCACACACACCAAAAACAATAAAAATTTTATGTGATATTTGTTTACTACAAGAAGATACATAAATTTCACTCTTTTGAATTGAGAGAATCTATCGAAATTTCACAAAAGTATTGGATTGAACAAGTTCATGGCACGCTCATTGTGAAAATAAATGGTTCAATATATCATAAACTTGTTATATTCTTGAACTCGACCACCACCTGATCTAAAGTGATTCAAACATGCTAGCAAATAAGCATTAGATCTTAGCATGAATCTTGTAACACTTCACTTGCTACATCACCAACAATTGAATCAAGAAGCCGATGTTAACAAAAGTAAAGCAGATAGACGCTTAATTCTACCGAATCAAGAATACTATTCATACTCATTTGTAGTATAATACTGTCATTCGATTTTATATATATTACTTTTAAATTAGTTTATAGTAAGAACGAGTGATAAAGTTAAATGTAATTTATTTTTATAAAAGACGTGTATTTTCAGTTTTATAATTTTTGAACATGCACATTAGTCAAAGAGAGTAAAATGATTATTTAGAAATATTGATTAGGATATGACACATGTATATATAAACACATGATCTTCAATCCTAGAATATTAAGTCTTAAGTTTCTCTTGTATAAAGCAAGACAAGATTATGATATAGAATTCTTAAAGAAGAAAAAAATATTTGATAAAAATTGAGGGTTTCACTTTCTATTGAATATAAAACAGAAATAAGAGTGCAATAAAGGAATGATTTTATGAGTTTTTCGAAACATTTAGGGAGATATTATGAATTTTCTTTAGATTGAATTTTGGGGATTGTTCCATAAATCAAGCTAATTTGTGTTATTTGGCTTTATTAAAAATTAATCATCTTTACCACAAATTAAGAGTAACTTTAGAAATAATAGTGCCTGGTGTAGTGCCAACCCTTCCATTTCCATATTTCCCCCAACCCAAATCCAACCCAAGAAACTGGCTGCAAAGTGCAAACCCTTCCATTTCCATATTTCCATTTGAAGTAGAAGCGTGAATTCATGGCAGTGGAGCGTGTGCGAAGTCAGGGACGAGAAGCGGAAGCATTAGCTGTGTGGTGTTGGTGAAGTGTGAAGTTCGAATCCGTGGCGGTGGATTTTTTCGACTTTGTGCGCATGTATTTTTCTTCAAATTTGACAGACCTTTGTTAATTTTTGTGTATAAAGAATTAATTCTGCAACCAGCCCTTCTGCGTTCTACCGCCTGTGCGTATATGTCTTCCCTTTAATTCAAGCCTCTACCCTTTTTCTACTATGTACACAAAACAAATTCGATCCCCCGTTTTTTGCTGTGTTCCAATCGTCTTTTCTATGGTTCTCTCCCTTTTTCTTCAATGTTGGCGTGTATATCTGTTCTCCACCAAGGCAGTCGCCTTTTTGTGTATCCCCCCGGTAGTATATATTAATTTAAGGCAGCAATTCTCATCTACTTGAACTCCAATTCCCCTCAAAAGGAGCCAACAACTTGTAGTTTATTTCACCTCAAATTCCCACCAGTAGCCGCAATATCTGTATTGAGAGAGTTCAAAAGCAATTGCATTTTTTTACTACAAAACCAGTCCCTTTTGCCTCCATTTTCTATTGCATATATATGTTCAGCCTTTCAGTCTTTCCTCCAATTTCAACAATTGGCAGCCTCAAATTGTACTTATCAGTGGACCGTGTGTGAAGTTAGGGACAAGAAACAGAGGCAGCAGTTGCGCGGCGCCTGCAAATTGGGAAGTACGAACATGTTTTCAATTAATAGAACTCCCCCTCTTGTAATATATTTACTTGGACAGCAATACTGATCTTAATGAATATTTACTAATTTCTTATAGCTAGTTTTCACTCGATGAATGTGGGAACAAAGAAAGAGAAAGCATTATATTAATTTCCTTATCGCCCTTACTACAAGACATCTCATGGTTAGAATTTGCAGTAATGCTCAAACTGAGTTGCAAATCAGGCCAATCTTGAACTTCGATTATCTCTTCCTTGTTCGTCTGGAAATGGAAATTATGTTTAAAAGAATAAAAGTATTAGTAGAGAAATATTTATATGAATTAAGATATAATTTCTTACCTTATTTTGAAAGGGATCTCTAAAAGTTTTGCTAAATGTTTTGATAGAGTCCCAACTAGTGAAACTGTCAAACTCAAGCTGTGATGAGTAATCAACGGAAATTGGGATTGTAATGTTGAAGCTAAATGCTAGAATTGAATTTAGAAGTTCACACTCTATTGAAGCAGAATAACAAACTACAACCTCCAGGTATTTCAAGAGACCTAGATTCTCTCCAACTATAAGACTCAGTCAAATAATTCCTCTCTTCCTCTTTCTCTCTATCACATTTTATGGGCATTTTTCCCTATCACCATTACTTTTTACCCCTTTACTACTGATTTGGTGGAATATTCTGGAATGTCGACTGACTTGGTTGCCTTGCTTCATTCTTTCCTCTTCTTGTGTACGTGAAGCATATGGGAGGTCTATCATTACTTGCCCCTGAAATCCACCTTGTCCTCAAGGTGGAAGTTGTGATTTGATCACTTCATCATACACCTACACCATTTCCTTTGCAATGCTCATCATGACCCGAGCAGAAAAGGGATATGTCAATCCAAAAAAAATTAGTATACCCTTAACTACAAGGAGTATCTTGTAGTACCATAATTGATTATCACCGCGACCTCCACCTCTTGTGTAATCGGCCCTTTTTTGGCCTTTTGCGCAATAAATCCGAACACCAAATTAATTAAAACTCTCAGTTTATTATCAACATAATTCGTGGATATATTTGTATGAATTGGGTTGCTCATAGTTGGGCTGGACAAAGTTGGGTTACAACTGATAATGTTAGGTCTATTTAGGCCGAAATAAGATTGGGCCCATTTCAATAAATCCTTTTCATCTTCTATTGTTTGGGCTAGCTTTATAATTTGTTCTACCCTTTGGGCCTCTTTCATTAATTCATCTCCATCTTCCCATCCTTGGGCCCAATTCATAATATGGCCCAAACCATAAGGTTGTAGCCTTATGTTATTACCACGTGACATGGGGTGTCAACCTATTAACCAAATTCCTCCGCAATAGATCCTCCGGCAGCGTTTGTAAAGGGGCAACCAGGCTACCAGCGTCACACGGGTTATTGGAAGCTATAATAGCTCCGATTTCCTTAGATTTGGGTGAGTAGAGTTTCATAATCGAAGGTGGCTTCGGATGAGGTCGCTGTCTATCCTTTTTGAGATGGTCGGAATTCATCTCCATCTTCAATATTAGCTGGCTCTGATGAATTCTCTGCAATCTCTTTTTCCTTTCTCTCCCTTTCCGGCTCAGCCATGGATTTCTTCTCCTGGTTCGGCCAATTTACAATGACCCATCTCACCTCTGACCTCTTCTCCTCCTCCAATCGACCCCACTGTTCGGCAATTGAAGTTTCCTTGTGTACCACACTCTTGTGCTATCCCGTAGGCACTTTTTCACTAGAGAGGTTATTCACGCGGAATCGAACCAACACCATCTTCAATTCTTCCCAAGTTTGTATAGGACAACGATTGTCGATCTCTTAAAACCATGCCCAAGCCTTTTCAACGAAACAAGCTACTGCGACCTCTACCTTTTCCTTCTTTGGTAAGCCGCGATTCATGTTTATGCATCGCTCTGCCTCAAATAGCCACGGAAATCTAAATTATCCCCATATAATATCCATGTGTTAAGTCGGCCACATGAATCCAACCCTGAATCAACGGCTCGCTGTCCTTTCTGTTGCATCACCATCTTCTCCAACGTACTCCCCGAGAATCGATCGCTCTAATACCAATTTGATAGAGTCCCAACTAGTAAAACTATCAAACTTAAGCTGTGATGAGTAATGAACGGAAATTGGGATTGTAATGATGAAGCTAAATGCAAGAATTGAATTTAGAAGTTCACAATCTATTGAAGCTGAATAACAAACTACAACCTCCAGGTGTTTCGAGAGACCTAGATTCCCTCCACCTATAAGACTCACTCAAACAATGCCTACCTTCCTCTTTCTCTCTTATCACATTTTATGGACATTTTTCCCTATCACTATTACTCTTTTACCCCTTTTCTACTATCTTGATGGAATATTCTGGAATGTCCACTAACTTGGTTGACTTGCTTCGTTCTTTCCTCTTCTTGTGTACTTCAAGCATATGGAAGGTCTATCATGTTTTTGATATAATTCTTGACTTGTATTGTCGAGTTGTTGTGTTAGACATAGGAACCCTTTTGTCATATTGATTCACATTGACAAATTGTCGTGGAGGCCATCTTTTCTCTTCAAGAAATTGGTTATGTTTGAGTGGGCAATTTGGCGTTCTGAAGAAATTATTGCCATCTACACTTATATAAGGATTAAGCCTGATTTTGGGATGTTCTTTATTGGATGACCATGGCCGATATCTAAGCCCTCATTAATTTCCATTCCATTCCATTTCATTTTCCTCTCTCCAATTTTCTACTACATAATCTTCCATAAAATAATATTACACGTAAATCGAAAATTTTTCTTTCTTTTTCAACCAATCATTTTTCAAAAAAATACTATTCTACCCATTTTCATTTTCACAAAATGGGGGCCAAACGGGGGCTATATATGTACACAAATCTTTAGAATCAAGAAATTCTCAAACGAATAATTGAAATTTAAGGGAAGACTCAAAAGTGTTGTCAACGAAGGTTGTTAGACCATGATTTTGAACTTTTGAGACCAGGGAAATAAAGGTTTCAATGAGATGCCCTGTTGCCAACCAACACATTTTTTGGTTTGACTGCTCCGGTCTCATCATTTAGAAACTGTGGTGGCATTTTTTAAACTGCATCAAAAGGATAAAACGGGGAAATGGGAAAATAGATTTTAGGAATTATAATGTCATAATAAAACACTCTTCTTGTTAGGGGCAAATTTCTATGAGAATGTTTAACTTTGCTTCCTTCTACAAGCAAGGCTCCTTTTTATTCTATGGCTTTTTTTTTTTTTTTTTTTGAAAATTGGCTAAAATTTTTGTTCTCTTAGCAGCGCCAAAAAATGCATGTTTACAACTACTTATGTAGTATTTCAGCTAAGCCATACATGCACTTAGTTTATTAGAATATTTGAATATAATGTTATGACTTATGAGGGTTGAGTAATCAGTATTCCATAGCGTGCTTATCCTTAACTTTCACAGAAGTTCCTTCAAATATTACAAAATATGAAGTGTTACTTGGGGAACAAAAATTAGACTTTTTCAATTGAGGTGTGTTTTCTGGATTTATTACATATACGCGTGAATCTATTTTCTTTTTCAAGTCACAAGGACTAGTTTTTTGATAGATGTATGAGAGATGAAAAGTATAAACATGCATGTAAAAGGGAATTTTGTGTATTCTTCTTCTTTAGGTTGTGGTGAAGATGCCAAAAGTTGTTTGGAGACTGCAAGAAGTTTCTAAAATTGGTGTGTATTTTTCTATGTGAATACAGATTTGAGAATAGGACTTGATCTACTACCTTTTTCGTGCGTTCTTCCTGATTTTGATTGAATGTCTATGTTGCATGGAACAACCGTGACCATGATAAGCCATAGGTTGCAAGTGTGCATGTGCATGTATTAACAGGTTGGCCCCTATTTATGTCCCGTTTTTGCCCTATTTCACTACTTTTGTGCCCAACTTTCTGCCAAGTTTTGGGCACTCCTTTGGTCCTTTGTGGTCCATTTGAGCGGGCAATTTTTTTTTACAATTTGTGTCGTGTTGATGTGTGATTTTCAGCTCTTCATCTGAGCCTCGATTAACTTTTGAGTGCAATTGTTTGGAGCTTTTGATTGGAAAGTTGATTTCCAATTTACTGTGATTATTTACTTTATATATTGCATAGTTAACTTAGTTTGTGTTTATTAATTTTTTGATAGCAAATTTATCACTACAATTGGTATCGGAGCCCGATTTTAGCCTACTGTAGTGGCTGATTTTTTCAATCTCTGTGATGGAATTAATATTAGTAAATTGAATATGTATTTTCATGGTGCAATTGAAGCGTGTGTTTGCTGATTTTGCAATAGGGACTTCAATTCTTAATTAATTTTGCAACTCTTATAATACCTACCGACCACAGACAGTTTGCTTTGATAAATTGGCTAAAACTCTTTAAATTTTTACAATAATAGGTCATTGTATGAGGTGACTAATAGGATTGCAGCCTTGCTTGATATTAGTATTATAGGATTATTTGCCTAAATTGTGATGTTATCATTTTTGTAGCTTTAATGATGGTTGCGAAATTTTGTATTGCTATTGAACCACCAAAAATCAATGTGCTTTGCATCTTTCTGATTTTACTTTTTTTATTATTGCTAGAGAATTGAATAGTTATGGCTGCAGAGGTGCCAAGCTGAGCATATTAATGGGGTGCAGAAGGAATTGATGCAATGGAAGATGAGAATACTAAAAGCAACAGAGAAGTGGGCACAACTGCCATTTTAATGTATTGTTTAATAGTGAATATACAATGCTCATTTCCTTTTGAAAATCTCATTGGTGGAACATGTTTTGTGGTCTTGTAATTATATTTTGGTGGTACATGTTTTAATTTTATTTTGGAAAATAGAATGTGTTGAACATTTTACAAGTTTATTATGCGAATTATTAGTTTATTATTTGAACTATTGGATCAAAGAATAGGATTTTCAGTAGCGTAGTAAGCATATATAAAAAATACGAATTAATTTGAAAAAATATAAAAATGACCAATGACAATGTTTGCAAAATGTTGCCACGACCTAAGAAGAAGAGAAGGCAATGTTGAAAAAATTTATAGGCAATGTTGAAAAAATGTTGCAAAAAAGTAAACAGCAACGCTGAAAAAACATTGCAAAAAAGTTAGGAACACTGAAAAAACGTTAAAAAAAGTAAATGGCAACATTGGAAAAACGTTGCAAAAAGTTAACGGCATCGCTGCAAGTTGCAAAAAAATTAACAGCAACGCTGAAAAAAACGTTGCAAAAAAGTTAACGCCCACGTCTAAAAACCATTGAAAAAAATCTTTTGCAACAATTTTTGAACATTACAAAAATTGGCCTTGTGCTATGGTGAATAAACATTGTTGTATCTCTTCTCTCGATAGCAACATCGACTCTTGCAACACACACTAAAACGCTGCAAATGACCTTTGAAGTGTTTTATGACCGCTGCAAAAACCCTTTTTTGGTTTAATGACTTCTTATGATATTTAATCTAACTATAAAATGCAATCGATACTACACGAGAAAATTGTGGAGACTCAAACTTGAGACTCAATACCATGTGGCAAATTTTCGAGCTGGTTTTTAGTTAAAACAAAGGGATTATGAAGATTCAGGGACAAAAGAAGGATTATTGAAATATTAGCTAAATTGAAGTCATTTCAAAATGAAATCATGCTATTTTCTAGGGACCTTTTGAGATTATTTTTCTTCAAATGAAAGCAAACACCAAGAAATTAATTGACTTTAACATGATAAGATTATAATTTTTTTCCGAATTCAACAATCTCCTATTTCTTAAGCCAGTTCTGACAGATTGGTGAACAAATTAGAGATAAATTCTCAGTATTTAAGCTGACCGAGCTAAGAAACGAGATTGATAGGAACTTGAATCCTTAGTTGCAATAATAAAAGTGAAAAGGGGATGTAGATAGAAAAATAACTACACTTGAAAAAATTCTAGGAGAGTAAGGTTCTCTTTCTTGTCAACTTGTAAGCTGAACTTAATACTGAGAAAGAAGTTGTAAATTTTCTCATAATTGTACCACACATTTGGAGGTGTTTACCTTTGGAAGTACTGCCAGATGCAAAACAACCCATTGCCTTGCTGCAAGTTTTAGCTGTGCCCCAGCTTGAGTCAACAGTGTCACTGGAATTCTCCTTCAGCTCTAACTAATATTGAAACTTCTGCAGCATCTCTTACTAAGATTGGAACTTTTGGTGCCTGTAACAATAGAACTAGCTAAAGAAAAATATCAGGTTGGACCAGGGTAAACTATCAGGTAAGTTCACTTCTCTTCATATTTTCTTCCGCTGTGGTCAGAATGGTCATATTAAATCTTAATTGCAGAATTTTTTAAAATGACTCTAAATTATAGTCCGAACAGATTTGCACATATGCCTGAGAGTTACAATCACATATGGTAAGCCTTCCATTGTTTATATAAATGTTAAAACATTCACCACAAAAAAAATGTAAAGGAAATTTTGAGTGTATGGGGGAATATAGAATTTTTCTCACACGATTTCTTGTGGTGTTAAATGCCATACAAAATCAAACTGTTATGAATTTTTAAATATGAATTAAAAGCATATAGAACAACCTTCTAATCTGTATAAACAGGAGTCTAAATTCAAAACTAAGCAAGTTGGGTTAAAAAGACTGATTTTAAATGTTTTAAAAGTAAAGTGATAATATTGCGAATTTATTAATGTGATGAATGAACAGAAATTGTCGTAAAATACATTCCATGACTCATATAGCGCGACAATGTCTGCAACAAACATCTTGTTGTTGCTAAATTTCTTTTGCAACAAAATTTCAATTTTTGCAACAATATATATATATATATATATATATATATATATATATATATATATATATATTTTGTTTGTCGTGAATCAATTATTTTTTGTAGTGTGATCTGTGGTGTACCCACTCAAACTAAGAACCAATAGGCCTATTTAATCACTAAGATTTATATACTGTCTTCCTTGAGGCTCTTAGAAAAGCTTTAGAAGTTTTCAGTGTCCATTGTTACTTGATTTCCAATTGGTAGTGTAATCTGCCTTAGGCTTTTTTAACTCGTTGATTGCTTCATTAAGTTCACCATGTGTTCTTGGCTGTGATTTTCTTTAGGGTGAACTGCATTGATACTTAACATATAAAAAATGGAAATGAACTTGTGAGTCTTGTGAGTTTGACATTGGACATGGATGGACTGGACATTTCTAGAACACAATACGTCTTGTTTAAATAATCTCTCATGTGGACATCTAGATTTGATTTAATTTACCTATCTATTGACTTGGTTTAATTTTTGAAGTGGCACGATCAAGCTTATACACCCTTACTAAGCACCAACGTTACTCGACATTACAATGTGATTAAGTGTTAGGCGCAAGGCCTCAAGAAGAGAGAATTGCCAACTTATGTGTTTAATGCTATATTCTAGTATTTAGTTATCTCATGGTTGTGCAAAAGCTGCTTCTAGGGTTCTAAAAGATGGATATGACCTTAATTCTAGAAAAAGTCATCTAGCTTGACATAATTTGTATTTTGTATATATAAGCAACTCAGATGTAAACTAGTTATTAACACAGTCAGGTTCATGATCATGGACTTGGATTTAATTGAGCTTAATGATCTACGTTATGATTAACTTGTTCAGATTGTCCAATCACACACTCACGTTTGAATATTAACTGTGTATGTGTATATGTTTGTTTGACCTTGATTGGTGACATCTGACAATAAAACTTGCTCATCCAAAATCCATCTTTGAAAATTCTTTTTCTTATTTTCATGTGTGTTTTCCACGTGTAAGATTACATAAAGGACCAAGTTGGACAAATAAATCTAGGTGTAAATTATTTTAGTTTGTTCGTTTTGAACAAGTTGGGTGTTGGTCCATAAACCTTCGAAGCTCAATTGCACATTTATAGTCTTAGGGAAAATTTAACCAATTGATGGGCTTACGGGTATTGAACTTAAGAATATGTTGCCCAAAATCTCTACACCTTCTCTCTCTCAGCCGATTTACCACAAACTCAAAACCCCAAATCAATTCATGGGCTGTGAAATTTCTTGATTAAGTTATGCTATTTGATCTTGAGTTTGATGTTTTGAAAATATTTTCATGAAATGCAGAGCAAAAGGGTGGACACAATTACCGGAATAACACTTGTAAGTCTAAGTCAATCTAATGGTTCAAATTTAATAAGTTCTAACAGTAAGGGATAGAAGTTGACTGCAGATGTAGGTGAACCAAAAGGACGCGAATTAAACTATGAATAGAACGGTAAACAAAAGGTTACCAAAGTTCAGAACAGAGTCAGAGCTAACAAGCACAATTACCACCTATCTTGAAGCAACAATTCCTACTCCAGAATTCTATCTTGACATGTATCAACTCAATACCCTTCTCCAATATCAGGTTGAGTTCTAACCCACTAGCAATCATAACATCAGTCCATAAATTTACATCAATGATATGGTAATCTCTCTGCTCGTTTTACATTACTGTTGGGTTAGATCCTAGTGATAGCAGCCCCGGCCCAAATGGCTTTAGTGCCAGATTTTTTGTTCGTGCCTGGGATATTGTCAAATAGGATCTTCAGGAGGTGGCTATAGATCTTTCAGGAGGGGGGTTCGTTTGCCTACGGTTCTGGGTGCTACTAACACTGTGCTCATTCCCAAGGTAGAAGCTCCAAGTAGTTTTGCCTATCAATCTTTGCTCTGTCTTTGCTTGTTTAAGTGTTACGTGCAAGGTCACCTGAAGAGAGAATTGTCAACTTTTGTTCTTAATGCTAAATTCTAGCATTCAGTTAATTCATGGTTGTGCAAAAGCTGCTTCTAAGGTTCTAAAAGATATGAACTTAATTATAGGAAAAGTCATCTAGCTTGACAAAATTTGTATTCCATATATATAAGAAACTCAAATGTCGACAGGTTAGTAGCAGAGTCAGGTTCATGAATATGAACCTGGATTTAATTGAGCTTAATGGTCTCTGTTATGGTTGACTTGTTCAAATTGTCCAATCACACACTGATATCATAATCTTAATTAACTTTGTTTATGAATATACATTTGTTTGACCTTGGTTGGTGATATTTGACTATGAAACTTTCTCACCAAAAAAAGTCATCTTTGAAAATTCTCTCACATTTTCGTGTAATCGTGTAAGATTTCATATAGATCCATGTTGGACAAATAAAATCTAGATGTAAATTATCTTGGAAGCTCAATTGCACATGTTTATAGTCTTAGGGACAAATTTGACTAATTTCGATACTTGATGAATTATAGGTATTGAAGCTAGGAATGTGTTGCAGAAAATAATCTCTACACCACCTCTATGTCAACCGATTAAAAAAAAACTTGAACTTCCAAAGTTATCTATGGGTTGTGAATTTTCTTGACTAATTGATGCTATTTGATCTTGTGTTTGAGGTTATGAAAACATTTTCATGAAATACAGAGCAAGAAGGTGAAAACTATTATGGAAATAACACATCTAAGTCCATATCAATCTAATGGTTAAATGTCATTAGTTTTGACAGTGAGGGAGAGAAGTTGAAAGGAGATGAAAGTGAAACTAAAGACCACGAATCAAAGTATGAATAAATCGGTAAACAAAAGATTACCCATACTTGACGAACAATTCCTACTCCAGAATTTTATCTGGACATGAATCAACTCGGTACACTTCTTTATGATTGGGTTGAGTTCAAACCCACTAGCAATGACAACATGAATTTCAATTCTAATTTGTTTAAAATTCTGGGAACATTAGTAGAAGCGGTGGAAGATCCAGAATTGTAGGTTTATTCATTTCTTTTACAACTAAGAAGGACTACAAACAAGAGATGCTTCCATGGTTGCTTTTCAATGTGTTTTATCTTTTGGAGTTAT